CACTGTCAATTGATGTAAATACATCATGTCACCTGATGTTCTAACTTCCAACTGCAAAGCATCAAGTTCTTTAATCAAATCTGGCCTCTAAGTAAGAATCCATGGCACTGCCTGTGGATTTACGGCTCAATGCATCAGTAGCAACATTTGCTCAGCCCAAACAATAATGTATATCTAGATTGTAATCTTTGATCAACTCTAACCATCTTCACTGCCTCAAATTCAGCTCTTTTGTATGAAAATGTACTTCAGATATTAATGGTCAGAAAAAATTTTGCAATTTACATCATATAAATAATGTCGTTGAACCTTGAGAACAAATAACACAGCAGCTAACTCTAGATCATGCATTGAATAGTTTCTACCATATGGTTTCAACTGTCTGGATGCATAAGCCATCACCTTTTTATTTTGCATTAAAATGCAATCCAAACCTCTTAATGATGCATCATTGTAAATGTGGAATCCATCTGTGTCTGATGGAAAAGGCTAAGGAGACTGATAGCTTAGGTGTTTAATATTCAAGTAAGAGTCGCAATAGAAATAGCGTAAGTGTGATTATATATGAGTTTGAAAGATAATATTATAAAAAATTAATAGAATTGGAAATAGAATTATAGCCCTTAAAATTAATGTTGATGCTAATATTTTTAATGTTATAAGTGTTTATGCTCCTTAAGTAGGTTTAGATATAGCCCTTGAAGATAGATTTTTTATTGGAGGAGATTTAAAAGGACATGTTGGTAGAGTGACAGAATATTTTAGAAATATTCATGCTGGCTATGATTTTTGAGTGATTAATGAAGAAGGTAATATCATATTAGATTGCTTTAAAGTATGATTTGTTATTGTTAATACTTTATTTAAGAAAATAAATGAGCACACTACTACTTATAACAATGGAACTAATAAAACACAAGTTGACTAGTTATTAATGAGAAAAAGAGAACGTCAAGAATGTAAAGATTGCAAGGTCATTCCAAGTAAAAATTTAAGTATTTAACATCGATTATTTATTTTAGATTTTAAGATAAAGAGTTATAAGATAAAAAATACTATAAATTATTATCATAGAACTAGATTGGGGACCTTAAAAACATAAATAAAATTATTTTTGTGAGTAAACTTCACGATTTGAAGATTTGAAATGTTTATAAAGAAACAAATTCTATATAAGATAAAGTAACAAACATGATTAAACAAGTGGCAAAAGATGTTGGCAAAAGATGTACTTGGAGATGTACTTGGAGAATCAAAAGGAAAAGATTTTATAAATAAAAATAATTTGTGGTGGAATAATAATGTGCAAGAAAACATAAAACTAAGGGTGGAAAATCAGTACAGAGAAAAATTGGTTTAACTGTAAAAGCTTAGAGAACTAAGAAAAATATAAGGTGCCCCGTAAATAGTCAAAGAGAATAATTTATAATGCTAAAAATTCTGGTTTTAGTGAACTTAAAAATTGATTAGATACTAAAGAGAATAAAAAATATATCTATAAACTAGCCAAACAAAGAGAAAAGAAAAGTAGTGATTTGACTCGAGTAAAGCGTATTAAAGATAAAAATTAAAAAGTATTTTTTCTTAAAAAAATATTCAATATAGGTGGATGAGATATTTTGATAAACTTTTCAATGAAGTTTCTGAAAATACGATCAACCTTATTAATCTTAATATCATTAATATTAATAAAATATTTTATTTTTATCATCGCATTAGTAAAAAAGTTAATGAGGCTTTAAATAAAACTAAGAGTGGAAAATCAATAGGGTCTAATGATATCCCAAATGACGTATAAAAATAATTAGGAGATTTGGGAGTTTCTTAGCTTATTACTCTTTAATATTATTTTAAAAACTAAAAAGATGTCTGAGAAGTGGGTGAAGGGCATTTTGGTCCTCATTTTTAAGAACAAAAGGGATGCATAAGAGTGTGCAAATTATAGAGAAATTAAGTTGATGTGTCATACTTTAAAATTACAGGATAGAATAATTCAACAAAGGTTAAGACGCGATACAAAATGTTCTCATAATCAGTTTGGATTTATGTCGGGCAACTTTACTATGAAAGTTATACAAGTTTGATGGAGAAGTGCAAAGAGAATAAGAAGGATCTAAATATGATTTTTATTGATTTAGAAAACGCTTACAATAAGGTTCCAAAAGATGTCCTGTGAAGAGTCTAGAAAAGAAAGGTGTTGATATGACTCATATCAAGTCAATAAAGATATGTATATAGGAGTTGTTACTTGTGTTCGAACAAAAGGAGGATTGACCAAGTATTTCTTATTTTAGTTGGATTACATCAGAAATCGACTTTAAGCCCATATCTCTTTGCTTTAGTTATGGTTGCTTTAGTTATGGATGTAGTTATGGATGCTCTTACAGGACATTTACAAGAGGATGTACCTTGGTGTATGCTTTTTTGTTGATGATATCCTTCTTGTGGATAAGACTAGAGAAAAAGTTCAGAAAAAACTTAGATTATCGAGGACTACTTTGGAGTCTAAAGGCCTTTGTTTGAGTAGAACTAAAATTGAATAAAATTGAATACATGGAATGTATAATACATGGAATGTATTTTTAGTAGTAGCTCTAGTGTCAAAGTTGTAACTATGAGTGATCAAATCATTAAAAAATGTGAACATTAAAGAAATATCGGGTCAATTACTCAAAGAGATGGAGATAAAAATAGGTATGTTATTAGTAGAATTCAAGTTATTCAAGTTGGTTGGTTGACAAGTTGGTTGGTTGACGTGGAGGAATGCATCAAGCCTATTGTGTGATAGAAAAGTACCGCTTAGACTGAAAGAAAGCTTTTATAAGATGGTGATGAGACCTGCAATTCTCTATGGCGCAGAATGTTGGCCTTTAAAAGAGAATCATAAAACAAGTTAAGTGTTGATGAGATGAGAATACTTAGGTCGATGAGTAGCTTGGCATTTTGAAACAAAATACGAAATGAATATATACGTGACAGGGTTGATATAGCTCCAGTGGCGGACAAGATTAGAGAGAGTCGTCTTAGTTGGGTTACATTACATGTCAACCATCTGATGATCAGATTAGAATAGTAGATATTTTAGATTCGACTGATGTAAGAAAGGCCAAAGGGGACCTAAAAAGACTTCGAAAAATTGTATAAAAAATGATCTTAATCAATTAGACTTAATCAATTAGAATTTAGAATTAAATGAAAATATGACACCAAATAGGATGCAATGGAGAAAAAGGATTCATGTTGCCGACCTCACTTGGTGGGATAAAAGCTTGTTGTTATTGTTGTTCTTATTGGGAAGTGATTAAACCCATTGGAAACTACTAAGAAAGGCTAATAATCTAAGCAACCCAATCATGGTAAAGTCTTGGACACCACAATGGCCTTCTATTCTCGTAAATCTCCTGAAAGAATCTATTTTGCTATTGTTTTGGACTTCCTAGAGCTGGAAGTTGGGGAGGTAGCCACAGGAAAGGCAAGGAAAAGGGCTTAAGAAGGCTATGAAGGTTATATATGTATGTATGTATGTATGTCTGTGTGTGTGGATATATGTGTATGAGAGGGTGGGTGGGTGTGTGTGCGTGTGTTGGGGGGGATGGTGGGTGTGTACACTGTTGGGTTGAACTATAAAATTATCCCACAAGTATTCATACATAGTCATTTTAGTCCCCAATATATCACATTGCATCAATTTAGTCCCTTGAATATACAAAATTGATCTAAAAAAACTCCTCAAGAATAATAATGGGATCAATTTTGCATAATTTGGGGACTAAATTTGGATAAAATTTCTATCAAAAATTTTTATGAGGGATCACTTTAAAAATATTTATATAGATCATAAAATAAAATAAAGAGATGTGATACTCCATAACTAATTTGGTGACATAAAAATAATCAGATTATTTCGGGATTAATCTTATATTTATTCAAGTCAAGACCATGCTTCATACAAAAATCCCCGAGTAAATACTTGGGATAGGCTATTAATAAGTTCATTTGTGTGTACGATCAGAAAGACCAATTTTGAAAAAGATGTATATACAACATCTTTAAAATTGAGTAGCTTATCACTTTCGCTCGCAACAATCTAAGGTCAAGTGAAGGAACTTCAAAGTTTGCAAGCTTTAGTCAATTAAGTTGGAAAAACACAAATTTTCTCACAGTTCAAGTCCAAGATTAAAGTGGATTCAAAACGTTAGACTCTACGCACAAAAATGATCGAGTCATTAACAGTTTGTTTTATTCAATACTCTCTAAAAAAAGCAGTAATAATAGAATCCCCACCTCATTAGTCTAATGACCAGCTATCTAGTTTTAAGCTCATCTAATTTTTTGTGTTTGAAACTTTCTCAATTAATTGAAAAGACAATAAAAGGTCAAAGAGGTAACCCTCATGTGGGAAAATGTTCCTGCAATCATGCAAAGAGATTTCCCATATATACAACCTCCAAGATCTAGAAAACCAAGAAAGAAGACTTCTAGGTCTGTAAACTGTAAGATATGAGCCTAAAAATGTATCCTAAATCAATTGAAAGACATAAAATTTTTAGATAAGCATAATTCATGCAGAAGTATAATTCATACAACAACAAATATTGTCATTAATCATATGTTTTGTTAAAATTGACTACTCTTCTTATCAGTATTTTTATTGCCAAATATGCACATTGAAAGTATAATTCATAATTATACTTTGTGATTAATCAGTATTAATCACAAATTATAATTCATAATTAACATAAATTAGTTCATCGTAGATGGCATATTGACAAATAGTAGGAAATGTTGTTCATTAATCACAAGTTCAACTAATATTGTCATTAATCATATGTTTTGTTAAAATTGTCTACTCTTCTTATCAGTATTTTTATTGCAAAATATGCACATTAAAATTAATGTGGCTAGTTCTTATCCTATGCAAGAAAATAAGGTAAGCAGATAGGATACACTGAAATCTTTAATAACTAGCAATCAAGTTATAATTCTGTTTTGATGCATACCTTTCACAACCACAGTCCCAATGATACCGAGAAAGTTGAATAAAGCACCATATCCATATAAAAATAGGTTCTGCAAATAATTGGCAAAATTATTATGTAATTTATTGGTGCAACATTGGAAGATTCATATGATAATAACTAACATTCATCTAATAGAAAAGATTTTTTTTTTCTTTATTCCAAAAGTTAATACATACAATTTAAGATAAAATGACTAGAAATTGCTATAATAAGATGGTGAGAAGACATAAAGCATAAAGCTTTTAATAGGCAAAAAAAGGTTGCTATAGAGAAGAGAGTGATTTGCTTGTACCGAAGAAAGAGAAGTCTAGAGAGATGAGGAGAAAGGAAATTAAGGAAGTGAAAGTAGAGAGAAATTAAAATAATGAAGAGATCAAGGACAAGTTAGAGAATGATAACTAGTGAGAGGAATCTAGGAATAAAGAAAAATTTTTTTAGGAGAAGGAGATGAGTTGAGAGAGCAACGTCGAGACAGATAGAGATAGACAAGATAGGGGCAAGAACCAAGGAGAGGAAGGAAACACTCCAAATATTTCATTTTATTTTCATTTAACCACCTTTGCCTACTTGGAAAAAAAATGTCTCCTTTGGTGAATTGCATTGGAGCGAAAAAAAACAACCGTATTACTCCTATAAATCACAAAATATGCTTTCACCCATTGCACTTGGCATAAAATACATAGACAATAACACAATATCTATGACCTGGAAAAAAACATACTGCAAGTTTGTCATCATATTTCAAGAAATTTGAAGAACTATAAAAAATAAAAAGTAAGAGAGAGAGAGGAAAAAAATGGGAATCACATGGAGAAAGAAAAATTGCCAAACACTTGGGGAATAAATCTATGATGCAATTCTCCTGGTGGAAGATTTTATTTCCTCAAGCACAATAACGGCAATACATAGTGGCAGTAGTTCAAATATCCGCTCAGCTTTTTAGCTTGTAAGTTGTACATAACTTTAACACATATACGTTGGCTCGATTAAATCCTTTTAAACTTGATAATGAATACATTAATTCAATACAATATAGCAAGAAAGGTTCTTTACCGACGTTTAGCCTCCTTGCACATAAACTGTATTTTTCATTTTAGTTAAGTTACTAAAATAAGACTAAAAATAGTGCTTCAGTTTTTTGCTTGGTTTTGTGATTGTAGGGTGAGATTTGTTCTACCAAGTTTCTCCGACAAAGGTAGATCACTTCACTATTAGTCATGATTTTAATTCTAAATATGCAAAATATATACATTTTTCATGTAATGTAACTATTTTCTAACATGTTTAAAATTCTTCAGATAGAAGCATAAAGCCAACTCAAATAGCCGCAACATAGGAAATACTGATGATGATTTCATATTCTTCAAAATTTTTTACTATAATTTACATGGATTTTCCAACTTGAGTTTTGGGGATAAAAAAGAAAAACGATGCACTAAGACATGTATAGGAATAATTTTAACCATGTTTTATGGTGTAAACAAGCTGGCTATTATTATTGACAAGAAAAATCCAAAAGACAAACGTGTTGGCCTATTCTATATTGGCCATGACATTATTAAGATTATGCAAATAAAGTAAATCTTAAATATTTTGCAAACGTGCTAATTACTCATAAAAAAGCATATGAAAATTATTACATACAGCATATCACATTTGCATTTTACTTATACTTTTTCATTAATAATTTATGAAATGCGCTGCAAATTAAGAATAAGTACAATAACACGATTAAAATTTAATTTATTTTGCACTTCTTTCAATTTTATAGATGACCACTACTATAAAGCAGTTAATAAATGGTGATAGTTCCAGGGGAAAAAAATTAAAAAAAGACCATCCTCCCTCCCCTTTGCTTGTTCTTCTTTAAGGGGTGGGGTGTGGGGGTCGGTGGATGAGGATGATGAGTAATGAAATAAACTTTATATTTTCTAACTTTATAATGGGAGTGCAAACTTTCACCATTTTCACTGTAGTGCGAGAACAAGTACGAGAACCAATAGCTTCCAACTTTAAGCATACCGCAGTACATAATACTAAACAATGCCATTTCTGCTATTATAGCAATAACAAAGCATTTATGAAAATAATTATTAAAATCTCCTCCATTGTGAACTTTTAGGGCACAAAATCAAATTATTCACCCATGTTGTCATAATATTTCTAAATCAATATCCATTTTTTTCTCTCATAACTTCATTTTATGACATAAGTTTGATTCCCCTTATAATTATCATAGTTTTAAATACCTCCTTTATTCTTAAATAATGGTACTATAACAGTCTGTATTTCATCATTTCAATATTCTTCTGATGTTCAATTTTTTTGTTAAAAATATTTTTTAACCAAAAATACTCCAATGCCCTTCTATAAGTCTCCAAATCTCAATTGGTGTTTACTTTGGATCTAAAGCTTTAAATCTTAGGTATTATCTTTAAATATAATTTTTATCATCTTTCAAGGATCAATCTATAAAACATAAAGATGACTCGTTTAAGACCATTTTATAATTTCTCAAACTAGAATTTTCATCCTTGTTTGATATCTATACCCTTAGCTAAAACCTTAATATCATAGTTTTTAATGAAACAAGCTTTATCAAATTATAAATTAGGATGGCTCAAATAAATATGTTGAATGAGGTTGAATTAAAAGAGCGAGATGTTTTTATTACAACAAGTTAGTCAGCATAACATACTAAAATACAAGTAGATAAAGTTTGCATGCACACGTGCAAATGAGTACAAAATGATAATAGGATATCAAAATAAATTAATATAGAAAAAAAGAATAAAGAAGATAAAAGATTTTACGCAGTTTTTCATAAGGATTTAAATAAAATGCATATCTTAAGAAGAATGAAAGAAAAATTGAGACAAAAAAACAGAAATACTTAAATAAATTTAGTTATGAAGAAACAATGAACAAATGACATTTGACAATCGTCCCAGAAATTACTACCAAAAAAAAAAAAAAAGATAGAAGCCAAAGCTGATTAACGAAAAACCTAGGCATAAGCAAAGGGACAAATATTCTAAGGATTGTCCTCAAATCTAAATACAAAAAGATAGATGATCAATGTGTTCTCGATAATAATGTTCATCTTTTAGAGTACTTCTAATAATATTTGCATAAATTATTATTGTATTACCATAGATAAATTTAATAAATTATTATAATAACAGTTTAGTCGAAGCATGTGTATGGTAATGTATGCTTCTATGTATGTGTGTAGTTCTGTTTATGTAACTACAATTAAAAAAAACAATAAAAATGAGTGACATAAAAATAACAAACTTCATTATCCAATAATACCACAGCCAATATAGAATAAGTTCAGAAGAATCACCTGGAGATAGATACTAGTCTCAAATTGGCTTTTCATCGCATACTCGTTGAAAACAGAGGCCACCGAGGGAACAGTTACCTAATAAAGTATGTTTAACATCAATTTAAACGCATATCAAAATAGTTCATCCAATTAGAATGCGGATAAACCCAACCATGAAGATAATTGATCAAAGAACAAACTTATGACTTTCAATTGTTAAGAAAAAAAATACTTGATTAAATAGCAAGTAAGAAACGAGATACTTTATTGTAGAACTTCTTCTACTAAAAGGAAAACTAAGGAAAGGATGAATAAAATCCATGTTATTAAAAATTCATTTGTGATTTCACTCAGATAAAATCTCCAGCCTTTATCTTAGAAACAAATCACTTCCCGTCATTTAAAAAAAAAAATCCTTTATTCCCTTATCAAGGTATCCAAACACATCTAGGCCATTCTTGTTTCTTTTAATTACATTTAAGAGAAATCACATATCTTCATTTACAACAACAATAACAAGCCTTTATCTCACTAAGTGGGATCAGTTGCATGAATCCTTTTCTCCACTGCATCTTATTGAGTGTCATATTTTCATTTAAGTCTAATAAATTTAAGAACATTTTTTATGCAACAAACATGCCCAAGTCAAATCACATATCTATGTTTAAAATTTAAAAAAAAAATTCAATATATATCATCCTTAGGTCATGATAATAAAAATAATGATTTCTATATTAACACCTAATATTCATATTTTTATCCATTTGAAATTATATTTTCATAAAAGGGCAATCATATACATACCACACAAATCTTATGTATTTACATATCTAACAGCTAAATTTTCATATTTACATGCATAACACACAAATCTTTAATATTGCATCATAAATACTAATATTATATTTTAAAAGTGAAATAAATCTTTCCATGCATAGATTTGTCACATTAAAGTATGATAAATGTAAACATACATGTTTAGGTGTTAGATATGTAATGCAAAAGAATTGTGTGGTATGTATGTAAATTGCCATTTGATAATATTCAAAATTGATTTATTGATTTATATTTTCACGTCATTTTTTAAAATTTCCACAAAAGTTTATATAAATATTGTAACTAATAAAACATTATAAATCAAAGTTATAAAAAGAAATTTGACTTCATGACTCATAAAAGTTGTAAGTCAAGAAATACATCCATTATTTACTTACCTGGAGAAATATGACCAAAAAATTATTTTGGACCAAAATACCTCTCTTTTGAACACAGACACTTATTTAAAGCCCACCATGAATGACATTAGTATGAACAGAGTTAGGAACATATTCGAGGAAGGTTGAAACTACATTGGAATCTTATTTTAATCCTGTTTGAACATGGTTCCAACACTTTTAAACATGTTGGAATGTAACTTATTGTATCCACTACAAGTAAACTTTATTTTAATCTCATTCAAAACATGTTCTAATAAGGTCAAAACATGTTTGAGGAAGCTCCAAACCACATTCTAATCAGTTTCAAATATTTTTCATACTTTGAACCTCATCAAAAGACGGTTTGAATGAGATTTGAATTATGTTTATCTATAGTAGATACAAGGTGTGTTCCCACATCTTGAATGAAGCATACTATATAAGGGTTATATTACATAGTACAATCACAACAACTATATAGAAGATCAACAACTAGATACAACAGTGCATTATCTAGTAGCTTTTACATAGCGTAGTACTAATCATGACACAACATATTATAAAATAGATAAAACAAAAAGTAAAGAAACAATTACATCACACTAGAGTTCCATCCAACACCTATAGCACACAAAAGTAATAAGCATTATATTATTGCATAATTAATTAGCGGCATTACTTCAAAAATTACATCAAATCAAAGCAGTAAGATTATTATCACAATGATAAGAGTAAAGTGAAAAAAGGTTATGAATGTGGTGTATAGCCTTATATATAACTCATGGTTTCTCACTTCACATTAGTTGCACATATATTGCACCATAAAGTTCACCCCCTTTAAATGCCTTGTGTCTTTCTTTAAATGGCCACTCTTTGGCTCTATCAAAAGAGACAACATGATTGTCGTATTTATATCTAAAACCTCTTAAATATCTTCATTTCTAACTTGATATATATTTTTCAACATATGCAGCTAAATCATACTTTTTTGCCGTCACAACACGACCCGGGGCTTGAAATTAACAAGGCGAAAACGGACGGTCAGACGATGTGAAAAGTTTTTTCTATATTAACCTTCAATTTAACAGATGAAAGAGCCACTACAAAATTATATTAAAGCGATACAATTAAAATTTACCTCGTTGATGGTTGTCCGCGTCTTCTATAAATGTTTCTCTTCTATTGCTTATCTTTTAATAATTTATTTAAACTTGAAAAACTAGTTAAAACAATTATGAACTAAACGAGTCAATGAATACTCATACTTCTAAACTAAAGTAATATAAGGAAAAGAAAAAATAATATGCAAGCCAGTTAAGCTTCTTTAAAAATCAATATAAACATTTGATATGTTACTCATATGAAACAATATCATTATCATATCATTTCATATCTATACAACTGTCACATGAGACACAGTCTAAAAATTTGTGTCAATTAAGACGCATCAATATCAATATCTTTTTTCATTTACGTGCACGAGTACATTAGTGTTCTCCAACTAGTACCATCAAGGGATGCTATATCATAACCATTTATGCATATACAGGTAGTCAACATAAGCGTGTGTTCATCACATTCAATCAAGCAATATAAAACATATACTAAAATGCACGAGTAAATAGCTACAATATTTCCAACAATATAACTAATAAAGAAAAGAATAGCTCAATCAGAATAAAACACCTACAAATATCATCAACTGCAAACATACTTAAAACGAAACAAATTACTATAGTTTAAAAGTACAAGTACTCACTTCGATACCGACTAATTTGTTATTTAACTTGACATCAATTCTTCTAAAATCGAAAATTTAAAACATGATATAAAACTTTTATTAATTTATTATTTCAAAAAAAAACTATTAGTTTTTCATTATTTAAATGCAAAATTTTTCTTTATGCAATCATGCTTAAAAAATATTATAGAAAAATATCTTATTATTATTATTATTATTATTATTATTATTATTATTATTATTATTATTATTACTATTATTATTATTATTATTATTATTATTATTATTATTATGTTTTAAAAAAAATCTTACCTTGGTTGACCCTATCCCACATGAGGATAGCACGCGACCCCTTTAGCACAAGGCAGCAAGCTGAATCCCTTCCTCCTTCCAGCAATCAGTTCGATTCAACCTCACAGAGTTGCTCTTCTTAATCCCTGGAAAGAAGTCGCGCCTCCTCTGTATGTGACGATCTTCTTTCTACGCACGAGGCTCGACCTAGCACCTGCACTAATCTTCCCTTCTCCAATCGCCTTCCCTTTCTTCTTCGTGCACGACAATTCCTTCTCAACTCAGCTCGATTCTTCTTCGAGAAGCTTGAAGAAGAAGCGACGCCTTCTTCCTCCCCTCTGCTCGCCACCGAAACAGTCTCCTCCTTCTGCACGACAGATACACCACTTCTGCCCTAATTCTCACTTCATCCTCGCCGCTTGGCTCCATGTAAGGCGGTCTGCGGCTTAATACGAGAATTTGCCAGTCTGACTTCCTGACCCTCAATCACTTCTCCCGCTATGATCAATTCATTTCCTAACCCTTCCTCGTTTGGTTTCATGACTCCTCAATTCCTCTTCTTCAGTTTCAAAATCTTCTTGGTTCTTCTCCCCCTTCTATTAATTTGGCTCGACCCTTCTCATCATCTTCTGTGACTGTTCGTTTCTCCTCCATTACGAACATTATCATTACATTTGCTCATAAGAATTTGAAAATAAGCTATAACAACTCACCCTAGATCTCGAGCTATAGCCAACAGATTTTCACACATGAGACCAATAACATCAAATTTTCAATTCAAATTAACTAATGAAATAGAGAATCAAATTTTAAGCTTATTCATGAGATTCTCCAATTTGCCTCTTCAATTTTTTGCCAAAATCATTTTTTATTGATTATAATGACACATCTATAAAAAAATCATTTTTTGTCTTATATGCCTTAAATTCTAATAAAATTATCACTAGAAATGAGCGTCTATTTTAATATGATTGCAAAAATCATAAAAACTCGATGAAATGTTAACTCTAGTCAAGTCATATTGATTTCTAGAGAATAAGCAGTAAGCCCACCACACAGCCAATCACATTCTCCAAATAAACAATTATGATTAGGTTTTAACAACGGTCGTCAAAAAAGCTCATAGTTCACGAACAGATCATGCTTGGCTCACAAAGTAGCTCGTGTTTGATTTCTTCGATAAACAAACAAAGCAAACACAAACAACTTTTTTTTGCTTGATTTATAAATGAGCCGAACACAAACAAAAATTTGTTCGAATTAATTAAATAATAAAAAAATATCAATGCACTAATTATAAATTAAATTATTATATTATATTGTATCTGGACCTGATGAGGCGATTGTGAAGCAGTAGAAGTATTTCCACCTGTATTGTCAGTGATAGATTCTAGTGCAGGCGGGGTCTGAAGGAACTCCCTCTCCCCCACGATAGGAGGTTCCAAAGACGAGGGAGCTACAACTGGGGATTGAAAAGTTGTCATATTGTCTGTCTGATCAGAAGGAGATGGAATCACAGCCTCTAGCGGTGCAGTTTGTTTTCTTGGCTGAGGTGGGGGTATAGATGGTGACATTGAGATCTGGAGTGTCCAAACATACGACAGTTTGAATAATACGACGGAAAATGTTTAATCTCTACCTTCTGCCAATATCCATGATGTTGTGTGTCCAACCAGATTTCCTCAGAAGCGGGTGAAATGGTGTCTCTTTCAACAAGTACTCTGGCTTTAGAAGGACAGGACAGATTAAAAATAGGAATGTCCGTCTTGAGTGGCTTCCCATAAGCTGAGGCAATAGAGTACAATACTTTTTGAGAAAAATAATAAAATTTCATACCAGGGAGACGAATCCAAACCGAAATGATTAGC